CGAATACAACTCACAAACACATATTCTCTTTTCTTAGCCCCCCCCCCCCCCAATGGCACAGCGGTATGTCTGCGGACTTACAACAGTAGAAATCGGGGTTCGATACCCGTGGTGGGCAGAGCACAAATAGCCCTTTGTGTAGCTTTGTGCTTAACTTCAAAAACAAACAAATTAATTTTCTTATCCTTTTTTTATAAATTAGAGGGATTAATTATCGAAAAAAAAAAGTTATTTTAATTTGTTTGTTTTGAATTTCGCGCAAAGCTACACGAGGGCTATCTGCGCTAGCCGTCCCTAATTTAGCAGTGTAAGCTAGTCATCACCACCCACCGCCAACTCTTGGGCTACTCTTTTACCAACGAATAGTGGGATTGACCGTCACATTATAACGCCCCCCACGGCTGAAAGGGCGAGCATGTTTGGTGGGATGGGGGTGCGAACCCGCGACCCGCAGATTGCGAGTCGAGCGTCCTAACCACCTGGCCATGCCGGGCCAGTTATTTTAATAAATTGATCAATTTACAGATAGTTACGGCGCTTGACTCGTAATTGTGGATCGCGGGTAGTTTCATCACTTTACATGCTCGCCCTTATAGGCGTGATGACATCATAATGTAACAGCCAATCCCACTATTCGTTAGTAAAGAATAGCCCAAGAGTTGGCGATGGGTGGTGTTGACTAGTTGCCTTCTCTCTAGTCTATCACTTATAAATTAGCAAGTTTGAACAAAAATTCAAGATATTTTTTGCTGCAGTAGTATTAGGTATAAATTGTTTACAAAATAATATAATACAATAAATTTACAATTTAGTTTAACAGTACTTTTACATTCATCATTCATAATCTTTTACCTCCCCCCACTCCAAAAAAAAAGTAAACCGAATCTCAAGTCATTTTAGGTCTGATAAATATTCCACAAAGTTAGTAATAATCTTTAAATCTTTACCGGAAACCATGACGTCACGAGAACGACATACTGAACGTCACCACTCATGGAATTCCTTAAGAGAGTGATAGTTATGTCAGCATCTTTTATCTATCCTGAAGTTTAAAGTGTAATTCAGGGTTGCAAAAACATATATATAAGTTTGTTAAAATTTTGGCTTCATTCTCATTTTTATGACGATTGGTGGAGCTGTAATCACAAAATTTTCCAAAGAAAACAATTTCAAGTATGTCCAAAATACCTGGAGGTGAAACTCTTTTACTTCAAAAGCTGTGGAATATTATCATATATAAACGTCAGAGGTTGGAGCGTAACATATTTATATTTGTGGAATGAAAGATGCCCTATGTATATCTGTCCCTTTTATTACACAGGCCTGCATCTGTTCCTTTTATTAGAAAGGTCTGCGAATTTAAACTACATAACAGTTGTTTTGGTTTTAATAACGGATTTTCCATAATTCAGCTACGCAGATTTCGAAAATAATATTCATTTTTTTTCTCTCACGTAAGGATTTTTACAAATCATGAAAAAATCTCTTACTTAGGTCACATTATTATTTCGTTTACCACAATGAAATTTTTTTATTATTATGTTTGTTTCTCGTGGGTTCTAGAACGATCGATAAGACTCTCACGTCGTGATTGGTCTAGAGAAATCTATAGATAGTGGTTGTCAACATTTTAAACATAAAAAAATGTGACCCGATTTCAATTAAAATGACGTTTTGTGAAAAATCTGTACGTGATGGGAAAAAATGGATATCATTTTCGGATTCAGCGTACAGGAATTACTGTATAACATGTAAATATTTCAAGACAATAAAACCATCGCAGGCCTGCGTTATCTATAGTGCATGATTGATCATATAGATAATTAGTTCCATTATAATTTACGAAACCTTCTTTTGGTTACATATTCTGTCTGTTCTCCAACCTACGTTGATAACTTGAAGTATTTAAATTTCGTTATTAAACTGTTATTACGATTATTGTCGGGAGGCTTCTCAACTATTAGAATTTATAAAGCCTTCTTTAGGTTACTTATTCTAATACTTTCTGTTCTCCAACCTGCTATGGTAATGTGATATGTTTATATTTTGTTACTAAACTGTTGTGTGCGATTATTGTGTGTGTATGTGTGTGTCGGGAGTCTTCTCAAATGAGCTTTCCTCGTGCATTCTGTAGGTGGAGGCGTTGTTTCTGCTGAGATAAGGCGCCTACGTAGGATACAGAAACCAGCAACCATTGCCCTCAAACACCTTGAGAGAGAGACTTCTCATACTTGCCAGCCAACATAAATCAACTGCCACTAGAAGCAGATGCCGTATGGAGGCCATAGTAAATCTCGTATATTGAGGTACTGTATTTGGGTGCAGGAAATATTGGAATAGATGAAGAGAGAGAAAGATTTTGAGCAGATGCTTACACATTGGATGTAACGAATGCTGCGATTGGACGCCTAAAGCTAAGAGAGAGAACAGAATTCTAGCTACGTATTTCCGCCACCCTAAAACAGGTTGGGTGCAGGACGAGAAACTGGCTCGACTTACGGCGATGTCTTCGTCAGGTAGACAGAACATCGCCCGCGTCAAGAGTGTGTGGAGTCTAGCTTCAGTGGTCTGTGACGTAGTACGCAGGAAATCAAGTGTAATAGTGCAACACTGAAGGTTTGTTGTGTACTTTTGCGGATGACACGAGTAACTATAGAGTTCTTGTTCAATAGTCAGTCGCTATGGCTTTTCATGGAGTAAAACGTAGAGAAATAAAGAAACAGTCATACTACGTGTGGTTTCTAGGAGCCAAAGAGAGCAAGGGATTAAGGGGGGAGCAGTATATTCGGCCCATTCTAAACGAACTTTTAGAAGAGGAAAAGCAGTTGGAGCCCGCGAAAGTGACGCTTCAAGTTAGTAGCAAAGGTTTGAAGATAATAGAGAATGTTCCGAGACAAGACAATAGAGGAAAGACTGAACACATTAAGCATTTCATCCCTCACCACGCCATCACATGTGTGATCCAAGAGTCCAAACCAAATGATGATATTGTATGCGCCATTCTTTTAGTTTACAATCCTTTGACAAAATGCCCAGTCCACGTGCATTGTTACAGGTGTGATAGTGTTGAAACGGGCACCACGCTGAGAAACCAGCTTAAGACTCTAACAGATAGGCCGGAAAACCAAAAGAAACTTAGAGAGATTGAAACACGTTTGGAAGCTAAAGGTTTTCTTCCTTATAGAAGACTGAACTCGGATGGGCGCAGTATCAGGACAGAAGGATCAGACCCAACTGATGACTCTCTCTACTCAGATCGAGATATTCCGGGTAAAAACAAAGAGAACATTAATAGTTTGTACGATTCACTTGCAGCTGAGCTGCGTGAAAAATTAAACAACCAGAATTCCTGTCCTATTTTACTCCCTCCTAAGGATTACGACCCGATATCTAGGAAGCAAGGCAAGTTACAAGGCATTGAGGAAAGACGAAGCACTAATTTTCAAATAGTTGGAGTGAATCAGAGGCTAAAGTCTTTTTCAGTTACACGGGACGAAACAAGAGATTCCAGTGGAAACTCGAGTGGGATTGGATCAGATGAGGCTCTTAGTTCTGCCATTCAGGAAATAGCATCTCATCTAGAGTACGAGAAAAAAAGAATTGATCCAGATATCAACTCAGATGATGAAGACTGGCAAGATTCTCTAGCACAAGGAGAAGACCTGATCCTGCCACAATGGAGACAGAGTGTACCACCAGTTCATCGTAACTACGGGCAAAGATCACCAAACCCTGTTCCAAAGAGACCTCAACCCATTTTACCAAATCATTTAGAAAGGAATGTCGTTTCTGGGTCTTCCCGGGACGACTGGTACAGTAGGTTTGAGAAATATACAGGCTCTCAGGACGCATTTAAGTCAGATCGGGTTGGATGTTCTTCACAAAGAGAAGAAGAAGAAGCTTTAACTGATAGTCTAAACAAAACCAGACCTTTCTCTTACCATATTCCAAAAAAAGAAGATATCTCTTTAGGATTAAAGAAATCTGATTTAGATTCACGTGTTGTGTACAGACAGAAAAGTCCAGGTCCACCTCCTCCGGGGCAGATGAATCTCAGACCAGTGTCGTTTCCAAGTACTAAAACAGTTAACAGAAACAGACTTCTTTCTACTTCCTTCAACAGTTATCCATCTCACTCAGACTACCCCCGGGAGTTACGACCTGTAGAACGTCAACGATCTAACCCTGTTCCTGGAGGTTTAAACCGAAACAGTGAGTTTCTACCTAGAAGATACTTTTCTACGCGACCTCGAACTGAGGCTAATCACGCCCCTTTTTATGAGGAGCATGGCCAACAGCTGTCTCCAGTTTGTCACGTTAGCCAAACGTATCGCCGTGATGAAAATCTTCACACAGACAAACACCCATTTGTCCCACTTGGAAAGCCTATAAGTGCTAAAACCCCAGGAGACATAGTGTCTAAGTGCCAAGTAGGACGACACATGGAGAATTTCCGACAGCTACAATATTCACCTGAGGAGAGGCATAAATCCGGTTCTTTTGAACTTCCGGTAAACCCTCGGGAATACCGACATAGCATTGCAGAGCCTTTAAACCGCAGGCTACCGTTGAACTTCCATTAATAAAGATGTGTGCCACGATTGTGAATAATGTGCCTCATGTGTGACACGATCGTCACAAAATGTACAGGTCGTCGTATGTTTACCAACTCAAAGACAATGATTGTTCAGATGCGTTAAATAAATGTTTTGAAATTTGCCACAGAGACGTTTTACCCTCAGCTCAGAAGTGAGTTGTTGTTGCTTTGCTTGTCGTTAACCGCAAAGCTACACAATGGGCTATCTGTGCTGTGCCCACCACAGGTATCGAAACTCGGTTTTCAGCGTTATAAGTCTCGAGACTTGCCGCTGTGTCACTAGGGGGCCCAAACGTGAGAGAGAAGCACCGTGGTGACTGGAAGGTGTTTGTTTCATTTTGTATTTACTTTTCTAAGACTTCAGTTAAATTTTTGAACGTTCTTCATAGTTTAAAACTAATGCTCAAAGATTATGTAGCATAGCCAAAACAATTCTGTAAATACGTTTTATAACCTGTAATTTTATGTGTTTTTATAATTTCGATGTCGTTTGTAAGATTTATGTAGAAGAATGGTGAAATGGAAATTAGTTTTATGATATTAGACGTTTAGTTCCACTGCTACCTTGTAAATCTTATACATTTACAGTAAATATATAGTTAAATACGTTAGCTCTTACTTTGATCTTCATTTTACAAAAATGTGGAGTATTTTAACCTATTTTGTATATATTATGTCCGAAGACTGTACAGAGTTATTTTATATTAAATCACCTTAATTAAACTCTTGGTGATCATAGTGAGTTCAATCTAATGTTGTTTTATTTTTAACAAGTAAAATTAAATCACCGTGCATTATGGGAAGTACGTTATATCTTTGTTTAGAATTGAACACAAAACTATACAATGGGCTATCTGCATCGAAACCCAATTTATAGTGGTGTGAATCCGCAGACGTACCGCTGGGGGGGGGGGGGCAGTACGTTATATGAAAAGGACTATATCACAAAAATAAAATGATATACCTATGAAAGTTCAAACGGATATTTTTAAGTAATGAAAATAATGATAAACTATTTAGTAATAATTTTATTTTCTTTGTTTGTAGTTAAGCACAAAGCTACACAATGGCTACCTGTTCTCTGACCATTGCGGGTATCGAAACCCGGTTTTTAGCGTTGTACGTCCGCAGACATACCGCTGTGCCACTGGGGGGCAGTACTAATGAGAACAATTAAAATATAGGACGAAAGCACTTGGCCACCAATACATCAATTCCCTGTTTTTTATCCTAATCACTATTAAAGGACTTCAATCAACTGGAGATAACCTAATCCAGCGTTTCTCAAAGTGTGGAGTGCACCACCTCAGGGGGGTGCACATGATCTCTTGGGGGGACGAGCAATTAGGGTAGAGTCTATAGCGCAATAATGCAAAATTAAGCGTTATAATATATTATTTTTTAAGGAAAATAAGTAAAAAAAGAAGAGAGGGTGAAATAAACCATATTTATTAAAGGGGGCATGGAGGACACGAGTTTGGGAGCCGCTGACTTAACCTGTACTTGTATTAAATTATGGTTTCTGTTAATGCAAGGTGCCAAACGTGTGTGTCACAAAATGTTGGCTGAGCCGTAAATATGGAAAACTGAATTGCCATAAATGATGATTCGATAGCAATGATTTGATCACGTACCATGGCAACCAGGTGTGATACATATGTGCCAAATTGTCCACCTTTTCAAAACAACAAGTTGTTAACGTATCTTGGCAACTAGGTATAATACATACGTACTAAGTTGTCCATCTTTTCAAAACAATAATTTGTTAACGTATCTTGGCAACTAGGTATAATACATACGTACCAACATTACGTTACGTATTAGAATTTCAAATAGCCTGAAGTTGAGTTAATTGAGAAATTCAAATTTAATAGTTAAATTGTACTTTGGATTTAGTTGTTAAGGTAAAACCGATTTATAGTCAGTTTATGATATTTGCCAACAAGATTGATACACGCAGTTTTCTTTTTTTAACACAAATACGTTTCAATATATACACACAACAATACAATTTACAATAAAAGTTATTACAAACAATGTTTTGCAAACAAAAGTTTCACAAATTTACA